ACCATGCACCCCAGCACCACCACACACCCCAGCACCACCACACATCCCAGCACCGACACACACCCCAGCACCGCCATGCACCCCAGCACTGCCATATAGCCCAGCACTGCCCCACACCCCAGCACCACCATGTACCCCGGCACTGCCACACAGCCCAGCACCGCCACGCAGCCCAGCACCACCACGCACCCCAGCACTGCCACACAGCCCAGCACCACCATGTACCCCAGCACCGCCATACACCCCAGCACCACCATGTACCCCAGCACCACCATGCACCCCAGCACCACTGTGCACCCCAGCACCGCCATACATCCCAGCACCACCATGCACCCCAGCACCACCATGCACCCCAGCACCGCCATACAGCCCAGCACTGCCCCACACCCCAGCACCACTATGCACCCCAGCACCACCATGCACCCCAGCACCACCATACACCCCAGCACCACCATGCACCCCAGCACCACCATACACCCCAGCACCACCATGCACCCCAGCACTGCCACACAGCCCAGCACCACCATGCACCCCATCACCACCACACAGCCCAGCACCCCAGCAACACCACACACCCCAGCAATACCCCACACCCCAGCAACACCACACACACCAACACCCTGGCACTACCACACACCCCAGCACCGCCACACACCCCAGCACCCCCAGTGCTGCTGTCTCCCTCACCGCAGTGCCCCACCATGGCATCACTACCACCATCATGGGCTCCCTCACTCTGACTAATGTAGACAGAGGCGAGGACTTTCAGGAAGTTGAAGCTTCTAGTTTTTTCTAACAAGTAGAAGGAACGAGAACCTCAGAGCACCATGGTGGGCAGTTTGAGATAAATGAGGGCGGCTGGACTGAGGAGGAGGAGGAGGAAGAGCGCCGAGTTGTTCACTGGTGTCTCAGAAGTTACCCAGGTGGTGGGTGGCTGGTGAAGGCTCAGGGGTGGCTTCGTTCTGGCAGCTCTCTGGTGGCATTAGCAAGAGCTGAGCTGGCCTGGAGTGCTGAAGCGGGGAGTGGGCGGACGTGTGGGGAAAGGTGGGGCTGCACTTGGGAGATAGAGAAGGCCATGGGGGCCACCGGGATGGAGAGCAGGTGGGGGCCAGGAGGCTGGTCTGAGAGCTGAAGGGGGGCATGGCAGGAGGGGGAGGGCTGCTGAGTTGGAAGTCACACATCAGCAGAGATGGGGAGGGGGTCACAGAGGTCAAGGGACAGCCCAGGTGTTTGTGTAGTCAGGAGGTGACCAGGAACTGGTTTGGCCTGGGGAGACCAGTGTGTCTGTGTGGAAGAAGGGGCCCGGAGAGCAGCTGTGCCCTTGGTGGGGCTGGTCTGGGTGAGATGACACATCTGGGCCGGGCTGGACACCACAGAACCCCTGGGATCCCCGTCCTGTGTTGAGCCAGCCTCTGCCGGGGGCTGGGGGGCTCTGGCAGGCAGGCCCTCCAGGGACCCCATTAACCAGACGAGACTGTCATAAAGCACAGGGTCCCCTTTCATCCGGCGGCTTTGAACCGCCGCTGGCTGCCCTGGCCGGCTCCCACCTGGAGCCCAGCACACCCACCAGGCCCTGCCTGCACCCACCCTGCAAATAAACAGCTAGTAAAAGGGCCGGGCCGGCAGCGTAATGAGCGGCTGGGACCTGGGGGGGCGCATCCCCCAGCCCAGCTGCTCCCACCAGGGGCCGTTTGAACCTCTGGCTCATTACCGAGCCCATAAACCAGGGGGCCGGGGGAGCGGGCACGCCGACGGGCTGCACAGGCGGCCACAGAGCTGCCCATAAAAGACCTGTCGGAGGAGGGAGACACTGCAGGAGGGCTGGGCCTGGCCGGCCCGGAAACAGGGGGGCCCTGCTGCAGTTGGGGTGAGGGGCCAGCCTGGGGGCTGAGTCCTAACACCAGCCCAAGCAGCAGTCCAGGCTTTGGAAGGGGCATTCCTCATGGGACAGTGGCCAGGGCCTCAGGTCCAGCAGCCTGGTGCGATCTGGGCTGGCCCTGCTGGGCCTCGTCTCTAGGTCATCCACTAGCCGGCGGACCTGGGGCCCACCAAACTTCCTGAGCTCCTGTGGAGTTCCCCCTCCCCTTTCAGGGATGTGGGTTCAGCTCCCAACTCTGACCTGGAGAGATCACTCTGGGCAGAGTATGCAGGGACCCAGGGGCAGGGGTGGGCCTCTGTACTGAGCCTCACGCAGCTTTAGCTGCCCCAGAGGCCTCATGGGAATGACCCCAAGGTGGCATTGCCCTGCTGGGCTGAGGCTGTGCTGGAGGGGAATGAGGGGGTGGAGAGAGAGGGCCTCTCATCCTACTGGGAAAGACAGTCAACCTCCCAGCACCCTGGGTCCCTGACCAGTACCTAGAGGTGCTGTTGGGTGGGTGGGTGGTGAAGGGGCATCTGGGTCACTTGTCCCCATGACTGTTTCTTAGAGCAGCATGTAGGAAGGATCCTTCTGGTGACTCCAGGGCAAGGGTGGTAGTCCCTTAGGTCCTCAACCAACCTGTAGACCCCAAGGTCATGAGAACAGAGCAGGACTTGGGGCTTGAATCCTGGCTGCCGCCTCCTAACTGTGTGAGGCCTTGCAGCTGTAGAGAGAACTTTGAGCGAATATTGGGAAGATACAAGGGCCCATGCTGGTAAAGGGTGGAAGTGTGATGCTAATGCTATTATGATGAACTGTCAGACCTTGGGCAAATGAATGCCTTTAACTGTTCCATCATCTGTGATATGTGAATGAGAATCCTGATTCTCTGGTGGAGCTCTGGTGGCCTAGTGGTAAGAAGCTGTACTGCATTCCCAAAGGCATGTGGTTCGAATCCACCAGTTGCTCTAATAGGGTGGACAGTCTCTTCCCCTGCTATTTCCAACCTCTGAAAACCAACTGGAGGGTCAGCTGTGGATCGAGTCAGACTTGACTGCTCACAGCAGCAACACTCCTGGTTATTAGAAAATGAAATACTCTTTGTATGTGACATGGGCCTGCAAAGTCCCCAGAATTCTGGAGTCTGTCCCTGGTCATCTTCCTCCTAGGACCCTGGCACTGACAAGCCCCTGAGGGAGGCCCCACTGTGCCACCACCTCCCGGCATTCTCAGTAACCTTGTGTCCTCACTCCCTCTCTCGCCCCTCCTCCGAGCCAGGATGCCTTCTGGAGACTGGACAAGACGGAGAGCAAAGTCCCAGCACGAGTGGTGTTCCAGGTGTGGGACAATGACAAGTTCTCTTTCGATGATTTCCTGGGTGAGTACTGGCTCCATCTGCATCTGGTACCCCACGGTGTGCGTCCTTTGGGGGGGGGGTCCTTCAGGGCTCAGGTGTGGGGAGGGGGCGGCAGGTGCTGTCTCTGTGTCTGGCACCCCACTATGTGCGCATCCTTCCCAGGGCCTTTCAAGGCTCAGGTGTGCATAGGGGGTGGTAGGTGCTGTCTGACGTGGCCCCATGCCATGTGAGGTCTGTAACTGAGTGAGGTCCAGTGCCCACCCAACTGGACCTGGCAGCAGGGAGGTTTTAGAGCCAGTGGTGTCAGATGGTAGCCCAGGTGGAGCAGGAGAGAAGGAAGCTCCGGCGGAGACCACACAGTTGTGCTTTGGTTGACGGCCACAGCTTGGGTCACCCTACAACGATCTCCGTCACAGCTGAGCTGGATGAGCAAGGAATCAAGTTGCTCTTCACCTTGCACTTGAGGAGCTGAGAAAATGAACACACCGCTCTCTGCACCCCTGCCCGGGCAGGATCTGAGATAACTGACCCTCCAGCAGGGTTTCAGAGCCAGAAATTACACAGCAGGAGATTGATTGGCCATCTCTCACTCAAGGGGCAGAGGGTGGATTCAGAACTGCCTGCCTTTGGGTGGGCACCTCAGCTCCTTCCCCACTAAGACATCAGGGCTCTCTCTAGGGTAAACAACCATGCTGAAATCCTAAGCTGAAAGCAGGGAGGCCCTCGCAGGGATGGGACATGGCCTGTGAAAGGAAGGGTTAGCAGTAGCCCTGTGACCACTGTGAACGTGAACCAGTGAGACAGACCATCTGGGAGTCAGGGGGCCTGCTGGGAGCTCTGGTTCTGTGAGAGCAGGGTGGGCTTGGCCAATCATTGACACTCTCCCACTCTCCTCACCTAACTGGTTACCTGCATGCATGAGGCCAGGAGCATCTCAGAAGATTAAGGTGTAGCTATAATGGCATCAGAGATGACTGACTGATATTATTTTGCTTAGTATTCTGAGGCACAGAGTTGATATAGAGCAACTAGAAAATGCAGATGAGAATACCTCTCATACTTACGGTAATCTCACCAACCACAGATGCTCCCTGCTAACATTTGACACATCTTTTCAGATGTTTAAACAGACATATCTATTTATGCATTTTAAGTGTGGACATATATATGCATTGAGAAAATCTGCTGTCAGGGACCTCCCCAGAGTGCTAAAAGTAATAATGATGCCACTCTAGAGACCAAGGTGCACCTGAACCAGGCTCTGGTCTTTACAATTGCTTGCTATGCATCAGAGAGCTGGGCAGTAACAAGGGATGACAGAAGAAGCATTGATGCCTTTGAGCTGTGGTGCTGGAGAAGAGTATTGAATGTGCCATGGACTGCCAAAAGAACAAACAGATCTTTCCTGGAGAGGGTGAAGCCAAGCTGCTCCTTGGAGGCAAGGATTTTAAAGCTCTGTTTTAACAAACTTTGGGCATGTTGCTAAGAAGGGTCAACCCTTGCAGAAGGACATCATGCTTGGAAAAGTGGAGGGACAGTGCAAGAGAGGAAGACACCAGATGAATTGCATGTGACTTGATGGCAACATGTGATAGGTACAACAATATGTTATTGTTATATAGTGTCAAGTCAGATCTGACGCATAGCTGACCCTCGAGTGAGTTTCCAAAGGCAGTTAATACCACAGGAGGAGATTGCCCATCTTTCTCTCACAAAGCAGCTAGTGGATTTGAACTGCATGCTTTCAGGTTGGCAGCACAGCTCCTTACCACTTGGCTACAACTTTTTAACCTGATTTTTTTTAAAAGAACATCAGTTTTACTCAATATTCATCTTCCAATTTTCATATTTGCATCATCATCATCATCATAATTACCATCATCACACTTAATGACTGTGGATTCTGGTGACTTAGTGGGTTAGGAGCTGTGCTCCCAATCCAAAGTCAGGTGGTTCGAATCCACCAGCTGCTCTGAAGGAGAAAGATGGGCAGTCTCCTTCTATGCAATTTACAGACTCTCAAAACCTGCTGGAGGGTCAGCTCTGAGTCGGTTCCAACTCGATGGTGCATCAAATGAAGCCTGGCTCGTGCCGTGTGCAGATGGCCTCTTGTTTAATGACGCCCCTCCCTGTAGGGCACTGAGTCATTTACAGTTTTAATGGTTTTGAAACATATTGTTGAATTTTCTTCTTGGAAAGTTTTGCTTGTTCATGTTCCTAGCTCTATTTTCTGTAAAAAGTGCCATCACCCTGGACTTTGCTACTCTTGCTGTCTGAGAAATACTGGCTTGTAACATAGCTGTCACTTCATTATTTGTTAGGTAGAACATGTAAACTAAGTTTTATTATCTATATTTTTTATAGAATTTCTCTTTTCATGGTTTTGGATTCGTCACCCCTATTAATGATCTTTCAGAGATTTTTCTATATTAACATACAAGTGATTCCATTTTTCACTTGCTTTTAATGTTTACGGAGTATTTCTTCACATTAAATAAAAAAAACCCTTTATGTAATCTATCAATCAATATTTGTGGGAGGAGGCTTTATAAAATTTATTTTAAAGGAAAATTCCCATTTGTTTTGAGTTGATAAATCTGTATTCAGAATGGAGTTAAATAGACTAGTGTTTTATTCTCAAAAAAATTACTACCTTTTAACTTTATTTCCATTTTTCCAGTTTCGTAACAAAATGTTTTACTTTCAAATAATATTTGTTTTTAATATATAATTAAAAACTAAGAGTTAAACATCTATTATCTTGTCATTCAGAAATAATCTTACCTCTCTTTGATATCTTTTATATAAATCAAACTGGAATGATATAGAATACTACATATATATGTGTGTGTGTATATATATGTATAGAGTGTGGAAATTATTGAACAGTATCATTAATATCACATGCAAGCAAGATTCTGCTGAAAATTGTCCAAAAACGTTTGGAACAATATGTCAACAGAGAAGTGCCAGATGTGCAGGATGGATTTAGAAGAGGTCGTGGTACTAGGGATATTGTAGCTAATGTTAGATGGTTCTTGGCAGAAAGCAAAGAACACCAGAAGAATGTCTATCTGTGCTTCATTGACTATGCAAAGGCTTTTGACTGTGTGGATCACAACAAGCTGTGGCTGACTCTGAGAAGAATGGGAATTCCAGAACATTTGATTGTGCTAATACAAAACTTAGACCAAGAGGAAGTTGTCAGAACAGAGCGAGGAGACACTACATGGTTCAAAATCAAGAAGAGGGTTCATCAGGGATGTATTTTGTCTCCATACCTTTTCAATCTGTATGCAGAACAGATCATCTGAGACGCTGGGCTATTCGAAAAGGAATGTGGCATCAGGATTTGTGGAAGAATCATAAACTATCTGCATTATGCAGATGACACAACCCTGCTTATTGAAACTGAGGAGGACTGAGGCACTTGCTGCAGAAGATTAAGGACTATAGCCTCCTATGTGGACTGAAGCTCAGTATCAAGAAAACTATGATTCTCACCACTGGGCCAATTGGCAGCATCAGTATGGATGGTGAAGAGACTGAGATAGTTAACAGTTTTAGTTTGCTTGGCTCCACAATCAACACTCTTGGTAACAGCAGCCCGGAAATTAAAAGACGTATTGCTATGGGAAAGTATGCTGTGAGGGACCTCTCAAGAGTACTGAAAAGCAACGATGTCAGGTTGGAGACTAAGGTGCTCCTGATCCGGGCTATAGTCTTTGCAATTACGTGCTATGCATCAGAGAGTTGGACAGTGAATAGGGATGATAAAAAGAGAATTGATGCCTTTGAGCTGTGGTGCTGGAGAAGAGTGTTGAACATACCATGGACTGCTAGGAGAACAAACAGGTTTGTCCTGGAGAAGGTGAAGCCAGAATGCTCCTTGGAGTCAAGGATTCTGAAGCTTTGTCTGATGTATTTTGGGCATGTTGCAAGGAGGGACTGGTCCTTGGAGAGGGACATCATGTTTGGGAGAGTGGAGGGGCGACGAAGGAGAGGAAGACCTTCGATGAGATGGATCGATTCTGTGACTGGAGTGGTGGGAATAAGTGCGTTTGAGATGGCTTGGTTGGCACAGGATAGAAGAGCATTTAGAGCTCTTGTACATAGGGTCGCTATGAGTCTCAAGCGACTCGATGGCACATAACAACAACAATATGTGTGTGTATATATATGTATATGTATGTGTGTATATAAGTATATGTCTGTGTGTATATGTATATATGTATGTATGTGTGTATATATGTGTATATGGGTGTATAGATATGTGTATATGTATGTATATATGTGTATATAGTTATATGTACACATGTATGTATGTGTATATATATTTTATATATACACACACATATGTATGTCTGTATGTATGTATGTATATATGTATGTATATAAAAAGGGAGTTCTGGTAACTTAGTGGTAAGAAATTGTACTACCAGTGCAGAGATACACAGTTCAAGTCTACTAGCTGCTCTGTGGGAGAAGAATGGGCATCTCTTCCTGTGTGATTTACTGCCTCTGAAAACCCACTGAAGGGTCAGTTATGAGTCAGTTCTGATTCAATGATACTTAACAACAAGAACATAATATAAAATGTGTTTTTCCTCAGGAGCAGTGATTTTGAAAATTACTATGGAACTTGAGAGAGACTGGAGGGTATTATGCTGAGTAAACGAACTCAGTCTCATAAGGATAAATACTACATAGGATCATTTTGTAAAAACAGAAGGATAGCTAGTAAAACATGTAGGGGATACAAAGGAGGAAGGGGTGGGAACAGAGAGAGGTGGGGGTGGACAGTGGAAAATCACAGGGCTGCACAATTTGGTGGGTGAGGGGAGCTGGAGTAAAAGGAAATGGGAAAGATCCAGTGGGGATCTGGGAAGACAGGATAATGGTGCGCATGGTTTAATGATGATTTTTAGAAACGTAACCAATGGAAATGATTGTATGAAACACAATGTGAATGAAGGATAATGTGAAACACAATGTATATGAACTTTGTATGCAAACCAATGTAACAGTAAAAAAAACGTTACCAATAGTGAAAAAAAACCCAAAATGTACATGTACAAAACACGATGCATACGACTGATTATATGTAAACCAATAAAACATTTAGAAAAATAAAGTACTGTCCCAACTTGCAGCACGTAACAACATATGTAAAATGCAGATATATGCATATATATGTATGCATGTAACATATGCATATATATGTTTGTTATATGCTGTTGCGTTGGAACCGACCCATAGCTGACCCTCCAGTAACTTTTCAGAGGCTGTAAATTTCCCATCTTTCTCCCACGGAGTAGCTAGTGGGCTTGAACTACCTGCCTTTGAGTTGGCAGCACACGCTTCCCTACCCACTAGGCCACCAGAATGCTCTATATGTTGTTTACTATCCTGATTTTATTTAATGCTATGTTGGGATCACCGGTAAAAGTAGACATTAGCATACTCGTGTTCACTTGAGGGATAGAGAGATGAATGTAGGTAGATAGATGGAAGCTGAAACGAGTTAGACAAAGGGATCGATAGAAAATGAATCTGATTTACAGATAGGTCAGAACAGTTAGATGGACGAGTGGAAGGATGGGTGGCCGGAGGCGTCAGGAATGAGTGCAAAGAGAGCCGACTTAGGAAAGGAAGAAAGCTGTGTCCAGTTGGAGGACTCTCAGTAGCTAACCTCTATACGCTGGCAAGGAAATCTAATGCCCTAAGCATGAGATCAAGAATTGACCTAATCTGGCTTTAGGAAGGAAGCTTTAGATTTCTCTCTCTCACTTGACCCCATCGACCCCCTGGACTCCAGTTCTATTAATGCCATCACTGTCATGTTACTGTGATGAGTTTGATGAAGCCATTTGAAATCACTGTTGTATAGCTCAAACATGTTTGGATATCGGCACTTTCCTGTCATTTCCTCTAATAGGTGGATTTATACAGGGAGCTGATGGATCATGAAAGAGTAGATAAATCAACATACAACAATGATTATTTGAATAATTAGCTGAGTAACAAAACCAGCCCCCATGTGCCCTGCCATCTGATGTTGTTGGTTGCTGGTGAGTTGCCCATGACTCATAGTGACCCGTGATCTGAACTTTGCCCTGTCCTCTGCCGTCCTCACTGTGTCTGAAGTGTTCCGGCCCATTGCTGCAGTCACTGTGTCAGTCCATCCTGTTGAGGGTCTCTCCTCTTTCTCTGGCCCTCCACCTTTCCACTGCCATCTGGGCAGCTCAAAGTGACCCTGCATCGGGCATCTGGGCACTGAATCTTATACAGGAGACTTCCCGCTAAGTACATTTGAACTGCTGATTTTCCTGTTAGCAGCAGCTTGGTACATTAGGCACCAGGTCAAAAGGTTCGTGATGCATGACTGTGGACGATGGAAGCACGGGTGGATTAGTACATGGTGAGATGGCATGTGTGGGGAGGTCAACAGACATTTGGACACTTGAGTAGAAGGATGGGAAGTGTGATAACTCTAAGAGGAGATATTGATTGGAAAGGTGGAAAGTTTAGGGGTGTGAGTGACTGAGCTTGCTTTGAACCTGCCCTGGTGGAGGAAATGCATTGATTTGGAAATCTCTGGCTGAGGGGAATCCCCTTTGTTGCAGGCTGCCTGCAGCTGGATCTCAACCGCATGCCCAAGCCCGCCAAGACTGCCGAGAAGTGCTCCTTAGACCAGCTGGACGACACTTTCCACCCCGAGCGCTTTGTGTCCCTTTTTGAACAGAAAACCGTAAAAGGCTGGTGGCCCTGCGTGGCCGAAGAGGGTGAGAAGCAGATCCTGGCGGTAAGTCTTCTGTCTCAGACGTCAGTGGGCAGTGGGGGCAGGGCCCTCAGCAATCACTGAGTGCACTCCTGCCCTCTGTCCTGTTCTCCTGTCCTCCCTCCCCAGCACCCCCGACTCTGTTTTCCAAGACTTTTCCCTTACAGTTCCCAGCCTTCTTTCCACCCGAGACTCTCATTCCAGGGCAGGCCTTTTAAATCAGAAGATGCACTGGTCATGGAAGAGTTGTATTTACAGTCTACTCACGTGGCCTTCACCAGGAACAGTGGCCTGGGACAGTGGACAGGGTCAGGGCGATACCTTGCTGAGCGGTCTGCCCTGGGGCATGACTGGAGAACAGAGAACAAGTCCCTTAGTGCTGGACAGTCTTGGAAAGGAGCTAATCCCTTAGTTTACTCTGGAATGGCAGCCAGCCAGCCAACATTTAAAGTGGCCCTTGAAATGAAAGAGCCTTGTTATCCACAAGCTTATAACAATTCAGTAAGAAATGCTAACACCCCACAGAAAAATGAATGAAGAACACACACAGATAATTCACAGAAGAGGTGTACTTGACTGTTAAGCATTATGGTGGCGGGAGGGAAAGCTTTAGCGTGTTAGTAATTAAAGGCTTGTTGTAAAATATGATAGCCTTTTTGCCTACTAAATTAAAAATATTTTTGAAAATATCAGTACTCATTTTTGGTGGAGATGTGGAGAGAAATGCATCCTCATTGATGTCTGCTAGGGGTGCTAATTTCTTCCTCTTTGGGGAAGCAATTTCCTAGTCTTTCAAAGGACATGTGATGGTATTTATGGGCTTTGATGCCATAGTCTCACTTTCTAAAAGGTCTCTTAAGGAAATAAACAGATAAAATGAAAAATTTGGGTTCTGGGGTGCTTGTGGCTGCGGCGTTGAGAATATCAAAGAATTGGGGGCAACCCGAAGGAACCAAAATAAGTAGTTTTTACTAAATAAATTATGCTCAGCCATCCCATAGAATATTTTTCAGCCATTGAAAACCAAACTAGAGCGAGTGTATAATTACATGGTGAAATTGAATATATTCCTAAGTGAAAAAAGCAAGTTATGTAATTAAGTAACTTAAAGCAAATTATATACAACATGATGTTTCGGGTAGAATAAGAAAAAGCTATGATGAAGAAAAATACTCATGGAGTTTATCTTCACACAGTGGAAGTAGGCATGGTATTTTCCTTCCTTTATATGTTTCTAACTTTTTTTTTGGGGGGGGTACTAACCGAAGTCAAGTTATTTATTGAGTGCCGATTACGTACTAGGTATTATTCCAAATACTTGGGACACATCAGAGAGCAAACAGATCCCTGCCCTCATGGAGCTTACAGTCTAGCATTTCCCACTTCACTTGTACACTGACCCGGGCAAGTCTGTGCCTCTCTGTGCCTCAGCTGCCAAATGGGAGGAATATGCAGAACCAGCACAGACCATGGATGACATTTTTGCTGTTCTGTAGATGCCAAACAAGACCCTTACCCCTTGCCCTAGCCTATCTCTTAGGCAAGAAATAGGGCTGGGTGTTGATTTTTAACAGAGAGCACACTGGGGCTAGGGGGTTGGAGCTGGATTGTCTGCTGTGCGATGGTGGTGGTAAAAGGGCTGTGCAGGGCTGATGATGGCTACACAAATTGTTGCTGCTGCTGCTGCTGCTGTTCCTTGCTGGCTAGGTCCTTGGCCTTCTCTGTAGCTGCCAGTGCTGTCTCTTTTGCCTTTTCCTTGGCTTCCTTGGCAGTTTCAACAAGTGTCTTAGAAGGGGCTTCACCTTATAGCTTGGCCAAGATGTATTCAAAACCCTTCATAGTCTTGGTCACATTGTTTTTAAATCGAGCCAGACCAAATTCCTGGACAGCTCTGGAGACACCAAACAAGCTAGAGGAGACCCAGGCTTCTCGGCGGATTTCGGTCCAACCACTGTTATCAGAGTTCACATAGTAAACACAGCGTTCCTCCACCACCATCAGCCGGGCATGGTTGATCTTCCAGGTGAAGGCGGTCATGGTCTGATTCTGTGGGTCCACAACAGAGTCCTCCAGGATGTACACCGAGTGAGCAACATTGGCAGGAAACAGTCGCTCAGCCCAGCGCGGCATCCTGTTGGTCTTGGTCAGGAGTCTCCGGGACAGGAGTTTCTGGTCAGGGGTAACCTCCCGGTGTACTATGTCTTCCGTCAAGACATGTTTGCTGTAGGGATTCGGGTACCGCTGCCAGAAGGCGGCGAACACTTGGTCCCAGGAACTCCTGAGCACGCTCTGGCCCAGGAAATATTTCACCATTGTCCCGGCCGGGGAGGACTCAACACCCGCGAAGCATTAGGAGTGCAGAGCCCGGGGAGCACGTGGAGGCCAGGCCAGAGCTTGGCGCCCGCCCGCCAGGCTCGCTCAATCACCACCGTACCGCGCCCAAGCTTCCGCCGCCATGAGGAGTCATGTTTCTAAGTTTTCTGCAAGGAGATGTATCTTATGTTTTCCACAAAGAGCACACATATCAAACCAACCCCACATCTTTTTCTCTTTAAACAACTCAGTGGCCCTGGTGGTATAGGACTTAAGTGCTTGGCTGGTAACCAAAGGGTTGGCAGTTTAAATCCACCCAACAACTCCACAGGAGACAGGTCTGATGATCTGCTTCTATAAAGACTGTTGTTTATGTATCTTCAAATCAGAACTGACCCACAGCTGACCTTCCAGAGTTTTCCGAGGCTATAAATTGCGCAGGAGGAGATTGCCCATCTTTCTCCCACGGAGCAGATGGTGAATTCAAACTGTACATCTGGGTTGGCTGCACACCTCCTTACCATTAGGCCACCAGCACTTCCTTGTGTGAAGATTATAGCCTGAAGATTCGTTGTTGTTGTTATTGTGAGGTGCTGAATCATAGTGACCCTGTGAACAACAGATCTGAACCTTGGCCTGTCCTGTACCATCCTCATCGTCACTGACATGCTCAGGCTCACTGTGCCGAGCTAACTTGCTGGGAAGCTTCCACCCTTCACTGACCCTCCCCTTTTCTAAGCATGAGGTCCCTTTCTAAGGAATAGCCTCTCCTAGTAACATGCCCACGGAATGTGAGATAAAGCTCTGTCGTCTTTACCTCCACGGAGCATCTGTTGGTTCCCCTAGCAGTCCGTGGGATATTCCGTATTCTCTAACACCACAGCCCGAAGGCATCGAGTCTTCCTCTGTCGTCTTTATTCATAAGGATGAAAGTTGCAGAGAGACTCTGTGGTGCCCAAGAACAATGACAAGCAGTGTTTTTGTGCTTGTCCTCCCCTGGCTTGTCTCCAGGGCAGCAGCTGGACTTCTCGTCCTGACCAGGCTCCCTCTGCCCCACAGGGAAAGCTGGAAATGACCCTGGAGATCGTAACGGAGAGTGAGCATGAGGAACGGCCCGCTGGCCAGGGCCGCGATGAACCCAACATGAATCCCAAGCTGGAGGACCCAAGGTCAGTGCCCAGCCCCTGAACCCTGCGTCCTGGTGCGTAGGCCACCCTGCTACGTATCATAGACAAGTCATAGACCCCGTGGACGGAGCCTGGACCTGGAAGGGGCTGCCTCATCTCAGGCTACTTACGTGCTAGGGAGTAACAGGTGGCACAAACATTGAAGCACCTGGCAAAAGACTGGCAGGTGGAGTCTGCCTGCAGGTACCTTGAAAAAAAGGCCTGGCAATCTATTTTTTATAAACCAGCCCTAGAGTGCCCTATGGAACATGTGTCTCCTCTGACCCTCCTGGGCCACCATGAGTCAAGGTTGACCTGGCAGCAACTTGGGGTTTGGTAGTGTGCACGTACCTGGGTGCAAGGTCTGTGGAAACTTCCTCCTAGGCGGCAGCTCTCATCTCCGCTGTACTGAGGACTAATCTCAGCACAGTTAAGTAAAAGCTGAATGCAGGGGTGCAGTTAGGATTCTCGAGCCTGTTCTGATGGCCTCTGCAGCCTTGTCAGGGTCTCTCTCCCTAGCATGCCGCCTCCTGCTCTCCCTGGCTCTCCCTCTGTGTTTAGAGAGCCTCTCATGACCCTTGCTGTATGACCTTAGAATGGTCTTTCGACCTTAATTTGTCCATTTGTGGAATGGGAAGACCAGTGTGCCTTTCCTGCATCCCAGGGCTTTTAGGGAGATGTTTGGAGCCCTTGAGTCAACGACAATCACAGTGACCTGATAAACTAGACCTCTGAACCTTGTCCTGTCCCACACTGTCCTCTCCGTGGCTGATCTGCTCAAGCCCATGGGACAGGCACTGTGTCCGTCCATCTGGCCGACGGTCTTCCTCTCTCTCTCCGACCCTCCACCTCTCCCAGCAGGACGTCTTTTTCCAAGAACTGGCCCTTCCAGACAATATGACCTGAGTGTGTGCAATGACGTTTCACCGTGCTTACCTCTAAGGTGCACTCTGACTGCAGCTCTTCCGGGACAGATTGGTTTTACCTTTTGGCAATCCAGGGGATGTTTAGCATCTTCTCTAACACAGCAACCCAACAGCATGGCTTTCTCCTCAGTCTCCCTTACTCGTTGTTCAACTTGCAGATGCAATTGAAAGGATCGCCAATCAGCGAACCTTGATCTTTAAACTGAGCCCCTGTGGGTACGGAAGTCCTGGAGTCTGTCCCAGGGTCTGAGAGACGGCTGTTGGGGGTCAGGGGTGCCCTGGCTGAGTTTGTCTGCACTGCCTGCTCAGCTCAAGCCAGGCCTAGAGCAGATGACTCAGTTTGTCTCGATGCCGTCTGAACACTGAGGACAAGGCCCCACCTGGCCTGCTCAGGTCTCCTCATACAGATGATAAACGCGGCAGCCATTGCTGCAGGTTCTTGAAGCTGTTACGGGGGAGAGAAGATGGTCTTCCTGCCTTCTCTTGCCACTGTCCTTCCCTCCCATAGACCAGCCTCTGTGTGTGGCTGGCAGCTTGCTTTATCTGGGATGCAGCCGGGTACAGCTCACCTAACATGACAGGCAAGCCTTGAGGCTCTTGCAGGCTCTTAGATGTGTGGTCTGTGACCAAGTGCTGTTCCAGGGAGGGAAGTGTCCTGGAGAAGCGGCCCTGAGGGTGGGAAGGGTGTAGCAGGGACAGGACGAGGACAGTACCAGGTAGGTGATGGTGTAGCAAAGGCTGTGACAAGAGAAGGCTAATGCATGTTTGGGGGTGAGGGTAGGAGAGCGACCGGCCTTGGGGATGACTCTGGAGGGCTGGGGGTCTATTTGACCTGTTCATTGCAGCCCCGGGGTGCACTCTCTCTGACCTCTGCCTGTTCATTGTCTCCAGGCGCCCTGACACCTCCTTCCTGTGGTTCACCTCCCCGTACAAGACCATGAAGTTCATCCTGTGGAGGCGCTTCCGCTGCACCATCATCCTCTTCATCCTCCTCTTCATCCTGCTGCTGTTCTTGGCAATCTTCCTCTACGCCTTCCCGGTGAGCAGGCCTAAGCGGGAAGCTACGGTCCCCAACTGGGCAGCCTAAAGGGCCAGGCCCTGACTGCTATCAGATCCTGGTGGGAGGCCCAGAGCCTGACCTCTGACATGCGGGGGTCAGTCGTGTCCCCAGAGTCCCCAGTCTGAGGGAGAGGAGCACGCTGTCTCCCTGGTCGGGGGGCTTTGATGAGGGAGGCACAGCCTCAATTTTCAGGAGTTCTGGTCTGGAAAGGAGATGGACTCTTACCCTGGGGGAGCCCGTGACCCTCAGAGAGGGAAACTTGTTATTTTCCTTATTGAGGAGACCTGACGTGTGTAAGCAGAGGTGGCAGAGGTGAGGCCCTTGGGATGGGATGAGTGGAAACCTTTTTGAAGAAGGTTCTGGAAGGGAAGGGAAGGAATGTTGTAGCAGACAAGAGGAGGAGAGTCCTGTCTGTGAAGTCTACACCTGCTGAGATTCAGAATGAGGAGTGGGTGTACTTGAGCCTGAGAGAAGTTCTCAGCGTGTATTCACGGCTGAGTTTATGTTGTGTATCCTGCCTCCCACAGGTGGGTAGAGGGATAAAATGGGTGAGAGGGCCCCTGTGGGGAGCTTTCGACGTGAGCTGATGCTTGTGGTGAAGGATTAAAAAGCCAGTGGAGGCTCCTTCTGCTAGTGACCGCTGCCGTGCCCCTAGCCCCTCAGCCACTGCCTGGAGGAGAAGGGCTCAGGGCTTTGTCCTGGTCCATCTTCCCAGAGGACCCCAGAGGGACTCAGGACACCCAGTGTCTCCAGGACTTCAGACCTGGGAAGGTCAGCAGTGTTCCCAGGCTGACAGGTGATTTTCAGTGCTCTTGATGTGAAAATTTCCTGTGAAGTCAACATGAAACAAGAAAGTCAGCATGAACATTCCAAACCTGTGTAGAGAGAAAGATGCAAACTCCTCTGACACTTGAATTTAATGGCAAAGAAACAAATACCCAGAGAGGACAAGAGACTGGCTCGAGGTGGCACAGCAAGGTTGTACGTGGCTCCTGTCTGGTGAGCCAGCCACCATGGTGCTCATTCCCTTTGTGCCAGGCCAGCAGCCAGGTTCATTTTCCACCTGGTCAGGTGGTCTGCTTGGAGGAGTGACTCTGATGTGGGCTCTTTGCCGAGTGTGTTCTGGAGGTGCCGGTGGTCGTGAAGACATCGCCCTCTGATTATGAGGGCCCTCAGTCTGCCTCGTGGGAGGAGGGTGATTAAAACACTGCTTTCACTCAGTCACAAACCACGAGGGGCAGGGGAGGCCTGGGAGGAGCAGGGAGGGGAGTCTCTGGCTTGCATTTCCTGGCCCTCGGGCTCTGCTGGATCACAACAGGAATCGGGATGACCCAGGAGGGTGTCCGCAGGCCAGATCTTTGAAGCTGCCTGTGGTTCCCCAGTTAGCCCGGCATGCCTGCAGGGCAGAACTGAATCCAGGTTGTGGAGACCAGAAGCCTGTACAGTTTTCAGGGCAAGGATGAGGTGGAGTGTCCTCTTCTTTTTTTAAAAAGTTTTTTATTAATGATTTTTTTAATGCAATGTATATGTTGTTTTTACAGCATATTCTTTCAATTTAATTTCCTCCCCATTCATTCATTGTTGCACATTTTCCTTCTTGTCCATCCCTCCCTCCAGTTTGTTTTTCTCTTTGAAGAGAAAAAAAAATTCTTTCATTTGTTATACAATTCCCCCCCCCACCGCCCCAGTCCACAGGCCACTTTAATATGCATTTCTTTTTCTGTAATCTTGTCATGAAAATATACCTAATCCTATATTCCTTTTAATCAGTTCTCTCCCTCATCTGTTTCAATGCAGTATACAGTATTTATCCCCTCTTCTTTTATTCCCTTCTTTGGTTTCCCCCACCCTGATATCAGTCCCATTTTACAACAGTGGCACTATACAATATTTGTCCTTTTGTGACTGAGATATTTCACTCAGCATAGTGTCATCCAGGGTCACCCATTTTGAATAATATTTCATGTGTTCCTTGTTTTTCAATGCAGCGTAGTATTCCATTGTGTGACTATACCACAGCTTCTCTATCCATTGTTTGTTGATGGGCACTTAGGTTGTTTCCAACTCTTCGTTATTGTGAACAGAGCTGCGCTAAACATGGGTGTGCAGGGGTATTTTCTTTAAGCAAAACAAACAAACAAAAAGACCCTTCTCCAATCCCCTTGCCATCAGACTCTTGAGTCAAAAGAAGACAAAACACAAATGCAAGACTAGGTGCAGGGCTTTGGAAGGGGGGTGTGTGCAAGTGTGGGCTGCCAATGGTGGGACCAGGATTTGGGGTTCAGGCCCCTGGACCACACACTTTTGTGTTTCCTCCTCTGGTTCTGAGTCAAGGAGTTGCTGTTCCTGTCTTGGGAGCTGTCCTCCTCTCATGTCATTCGGAGTACATTTGCCCACATTCAATGGACGCTAAAGCCTCCTTTGAGCACGTGAGGGCAGCTCATGAGAGGACATGGTGTCTGGGGGTGGAGTGTGCGGTGGTGGTTCAGTGGTAAAATTTCCCCCTTCCAAGCTGGAGATCAGGGTTTGATTCCTTGCTGGGGTGCCTCAGGCACAGCTGTCACTTGTCTGTCTGGAGGCTGATGGGTTGCTGTGTTATCTCTGAATATCAGCCAGAGAAGACCCTGCTTGTGTGACCATGGTCCCTCTGTCGCAAGTCAGGCCTGACTCAATGGTAGCTCACAGGGTGTCTGGGAGGCAAGGATTTGCTGTGGGGTTTAGGCTTCTGTCACTGAGGGGGTCCCCAGTCTTCGGGGAACAGCACTGAGGCCAGAGAGCACTGAAGGCAGGCTGTATAATCAGTGCTGGGGTATGAGGGGCAGGTGGTGGGTGCTGGGGGCTGGGAGATGGTGCCCCGCCCAGCCCCTCATGCTGGGCTCCAGGGAGCATCAGCACCTGGGAGTTGGTTAGGAATGCAGACCCCTAGACCTGCCCAGTGTCCCACGTGAGAATCAGCATTTAGGCTCGTTGAGGCTTGAAAGACATGAGTGCCCAGGACACAGCATGGCCTCTCCTGGTGCCTGTGGCTGGCTGCTCTCAGCGCTTACCTCCTGTGAGAGGGACCAGGGTCCGGGAACTCCTGCATTTTTCTTGGGGGATAGGGGTCTTCACCCTGAGCCCCTTCCTGAAGAGCTGAGGGAACCCTGGAGCAGGTCCAGAGCGACCTCACTACCACCCTTTCTGTGCTGACCGCGGGCTCCAGACCCTTCTCTCGCTGTCAGGAGCCTGAGGAAAGAGACCTGCTGCCCCGTAGAGGAAGAAGGGAAGGCTTGGCCGCGTCCAGGCCCTGGTGACTCTTCCTGCCTCGTGGGTAGCCTTAGTCCCCCTAGCCCTGTCGGTAGACCCTGAGCAGCACTTTGGGGTTCTGATAAACATCCCTTATCTCATGGCCCCCAGTAGTGGCATCACTCCTCTTTGAGCTCTCTGGACATTATCCTCTTTAAAAATGTCAGCCCTGTCTTTGTTGTCCAGGGGTAAGAGGCAGGGCGGTCTAGGGAAAAGGGGGTGTCTGGGTCTGAGTCCCTGTGGACCAGCTTTGCCTCCAAGCCTTTGCCATGAGCTGGACAAATCCTTCCCTCCATCCAAGTCACTGTCACCCCAGTCCCAGAGCTAGGAGACAGGGCTCACCCCGACTGTCCCAGAGCATGACTGGGCAGAGGGATCCAGGGCCAGGCAGCTCCCCTCTAGCTGGCCTCGTCTCCTACCCGTTTGGAAATTCCCCTGGGAGGAGGGTGAGGGGGCGGCCTGATTCCTCCCAGCCCCCCTCCTGTGGAGCCAGCCGGGAGTCGGGCCAGCCTGGGGTGGGGGCAGCAGGCACTTGGCAGGGAAGGGGCAGTGGCTTTGTTTCTGGAGTTGGCCGTGCTAGGTCGGCTCTGGGGAACATGCCGTCCCAATTAGGAACCCTGTGTTGTGTTGTGTGTGTTTTCACGGTTTTTCGGAGGAGGCATGGGGAGGGGAGATTCTTGTCAGCCCAGCACAGGCAGGGCATGATCGGGGTGACCTACTGCTGATGCTGGACTCGTGGGTCAGCCCTGGGCCCCAAGCCCAGCTTTCTCTCTGCCTGGATGGAAGGCGACTGATCCTTGGTTCAGTGTGGGAAGCTGTGGGAATTCTAACCCCACATTCACTTCACCTGTCTGAGGAATGATAGCAGTGACACTGAACATAGGCGTTTCCTTAACAGCCATCAATGAGGAGAAGACAGAGCTGGTCTGGGCCTCTGAGGGTGGGAGGGAGTCGAGTTTTAGGACAGAGGCTGGGCCCCCTGGATGAGCCTGCGTGGACCGGGTGAGGACTGGGTCAGGTGGTGGAGCGTCCCTGAGCCGCTTTGCCCAGCTCCCCCGCCACCCTGGCAGCTCTGTCCACGGCATTGGGGCCTGGCAATGGAGAGGCCCCTCCAGGTCCTGGGAACCGCTCTGTGACCCTGTCCACCCTCCTTCTAGAACTATGCCGCCATGAAGCTGGTGAAGCCCTTCAGCTGAGGACACTCCGCCTGCTCCTGAAGGACTGACCTGCCTCCTCATCCTCGCTCAGCCAAGCACCTCCACGCGACTGCCCTGCCAGGGAGGGAGGGCGGACGGAGGGACTGGCACGTGCTCCCGGAGTTGGTAACGTGTGGCCATGGACAGCCCTGCTGCCGGCACTTCTGCCCCTCCCAGCCCAGCCCTTTTGGGGATCAGCTCGCATTTCAGTACAAAACCATTTAAACCTCAAAGCCGTGTTGGTGTGTGTCATACGTAGATACCTGGATGGGGGTGATTACAGGGTGTGCCCGGTGGGCACGGGAAGACAGGTTGGGGGTGTGCCATCTCTCACTTGGCCTTCTCTGGGAGACGTAAGCAGAATGCTGTGGGTGGGCCGTCCTGTGCACCCCTTAGTCCTCCTGCTGAGTAGGGTGGGCTTTGCAGTCGGCCTGAAGACCTCAGTTTCTCCTTCCTCTCCTCCTTCCACCTCACCTCACTCAGCCTTTAAACTGACATCCTTTGGATAATGCTAAAGAATGGCGAGAGTCTTAGCTGTATCGTGGACGGCCTAAGGCACAAACACATCTATCTGTCTTGAAGAAAATGCAACAAGAGTGCTCCGTAGAGGCACCAACTGGAGACACTTCATCTCACTGGCTCGGGCTTGCTTTCTGGAGGAACCAAGCCTTAGAGAGAGACAGCGTACTGAGAAAGGTAGAGGGGTGGGTGAAAGAAAGGAAGACCCTCCACGAGGTGGGTTGATACGGTGGCGTCCACAATGGGCTTGAGCTTTACCGAGATGGTGACGATGGCGCAGCCAGGGCGAGGCTCATGTCTGCTGTTCACAGGGTCTCTCTGAGTCGCAGTGGACGCAGAGCACCTCACAACAACAACTTCGCCTTCCTCCCTTTCCTCTGTCCTCCCCTGCCTTCTCCAGGACCTGCCTCTCTCTCCATGACCCCTCCCTCCTCAGGCACTGTCCCCTCCCTTCCCAGCCTGCCCTGTGCTCTGGTGGGCTTTACCTGTCCCTCTGACAATTCCTACCTGATGAAAGAGGAGCACAGAGGAGAAGGTGGGGCAGACTCTCCCCAGCAGACCCCATGTTGGGCCCTGTGCCCCACCTCTAGGTAATTCTTGGATGCCTTCCCTCTGCTTGGAAGATCTGATCTGGACCCAGACACTTCTTGCAACCATGTAAGCTGTTAGCTTGGCCTTTTCTGTGGGAATCAGGTTAAATCTCTGGAAACAGCAGGGCTGTATTTCAAGTGGAGACCTAGAGCCTGAACACATCGGGTTTCCAGAAGAGAGGCCTCTACCCTTTTTGCCCGTGGGCTGGAGCTCTGTGAGCGCGGCCTGGCCTGCTCTCCTGGTGGCTGCCTGCCCATCCAGAGACATCTCCTGTTTCTCTCTTGGGCCTGCTTCCCTGGCCCAGACCTAAGGCCTTGCAATAATCTTCCCAGCAGCCCTTCACTCCTCACCACCTTCCAGATCCCATGCACGAGGCTCACTTCTAGCCTTCTTGGGTAAGGGAGCTGCACCTTAAAATGAAGATGCCCGTCGATGTCCTGCTGCTCGTCGGCCTGAGAGATGTGGAGACTAGCCCCATTGCGGCTGATACCTGAGTCTTGGTGTCACACTTCACACAGAACATGCCTTGGGGCTCATGGCCCAGAGCTTTTCAGGAATGTTCTGTCTGGAGTCTTCACGGAGCAACCTGGTAGGAGCAGCGTTAAACACTCTTCAAGTGGGACTGGGCGTGAAGGAAGGAAGAGGCAGGGCTGCCACTTCAGGAGGTGGACAGTGTTCTTAGGATGGAGACCAACTCTACGCTTTATGGGATGTGAGAGAGAAAGGAGGAGAGAAAGGGAAGCTCAAAGACACTAGAGTGAATATGGGGTAATTAGTGGGACTCGTCCACAGAAGAGGGTCCACTTTTTCTTTTAGGTACAAAAGGCAGGAAGAAGTAAAGGAGTGCAGCACACGTATTGTTGTTAGGTGCCATCATAGTGACCCTGTGAGTAACACACCTGAGCCTCGCCCTGTCCTGTGTCGTCCCCGTCGTCTCTGCCAAGCTCAAGTTCATTGCTCCAGTCACTGTGCCAGTCCGTCTTGTTGAGGGTCTTCCGCTTTCTCTTCATTTGCTTGGTTTAGCTTGCTGCTGTGGGTTGCAGGCAATAGAAAGCATAATCAGATTACAGCAGAGTGAATGCAGTGTCTTCTGTTACAGCTTCCCTCGTTCTTTTCTTCCTAACTGAAAGAGCTCCAGTTTGTTCAGTATTGGGTGCAGCCAGGTTCTTGGAAAGGAGCACCGCCGTGACTGAAGCAGCAACAGACATGCCTCTGTGCTTGCTCGCGACGGGTTAGCACAGGGAGGCGAGGTGGGAGAGTGTAGACACAGCCAGGTCCTTCTGTGTCCGCGGGGTCCTCCAGGACTCTCCCCCTGGCCTTGGCTCTTCTCACACCATGTGCCTCCTTTCCTAACCTTGCCCACTGGCCTCAAGTTGCTTCTACCTCGTGGCGACCCTTGGCTGGGTCTTCCAGGCTGTCGACCATCACTGGAGGAGATGACTTCATCATTCTCCTGGCTGATGGGTTCGAACCACTGACTTTTTGACTAGCAGAATAATGCACTATGCACTGTATCTCGGGAGCACTTTGGCGCCTAGTCAGCCTTGTCCACACACTCACATGGCTCCCGGTGCCCTTTCGAGGGCAATGGCTTTGATGTCGCTAACTCCAGCCTAGTCTCCGTCCTGTGCTCTGGCATTACCCAGTGGCCTACCATGGGGGTCTCCTCCCGGCTGGCTCACAGGCACCCAAACCAAGTGTCTCCCCCAGGGTGGTTCACAGGCACCCGAAACTTAAGCTCTCCCACTCAGAATCTCCATTCCCACGCCACTGTTCTTTTTAGTTCCTTTCTTCTTGCCCCTCCATTGTCACAGTGGCTGTCACACGGGGCCTTGACTGCCTCTCTGTTCTACTGAATGCAAGGATTCTCAGACAGGAGAACTGTTTGCTCGCCTCTCAGAGTTCAGCTTGGCCTTTTTCTCTGACCGGACGCCCCCCTGGCCATGGGCATAGCTGCCAGCTCCCTCCTGTGCTCCCTTGTTAACGCTTCAGAGCAGCCTGCGGACTAGGCCTCTCTCCTCCCCATTTGACGGGGCTGAGCCGTGAGACTGAAACCTCATCCCCACCTTTCCGGACAGGGCTGCTTCCTGCACTGAAGGGACTTGACTAGAAAAAGTGTTTCATTGCACGTTTCCCTCCACAGCCAATCCCTCGGAGCCACTTCAAATGGGGTTTTCTTTTCTGAAATTCAGTGAGTTCTCGACATTTGAAACCTGCTCTCAACTGTGAGAAGTGAGAATAACTCTCATCTGGTTTGTTTTATTTTTTTAAAGACTAAGAATGGTTCAACACTTGATAAGCCTTTTGTATCCAGAACCCTCACTCCGTTCTTGTTCCTTATTTCCTCTGTGGATGTTTCGGAGAGAGTCTTCACACGCTACCACTGCCATTATGATTGTTTCTTCCTCCTACCCAGACCAGGCCAGGGGAGGGTGACGGGGAACTGGAGGAACACTGAAAGAACCCTGGCCCTCCCCTGGGCCCTCACCCCCTCCGCAGCTTGCCTCCACACCCAGGGTCTCAATCCTCTCTCCACGTGTTTCATAAATGTAGGATTAGGGGATTTCCAGAGGGGCCAGGTGGGCATCCCCTGACTGGGACATGGTGACACGGCCCAGGCAGCATTTCCTGCCCATCCAGGAGAACTGGGTGAGGACAGAGGTTCGCCCTGAGCTGCTGGCACTGGCCTTTGCATGGCTGCTGGGGATATTTAAATAGAGAGGGGCGCGTTCTTCTCCCCCTTTCTCCTATGCTTGTTCTCCCCTCTGGGGGGAAAAATAGCTGCAGTGCCTATTCCCTGTGGCTTGGCCTTTCAGGGACTTTATATCCTGTTTCTCTGCCTCTGTTTTTGTCTTGGCTTTCACCTGGCGTGGGGGTTGGTGGTGGGGGAAAGAGAGGCAGCACGAGGCAGATAAAGAAAGATGCAGATTCATGGCGAGGGACAGACAGACTGAAAGACTGGGGTGGGGAAAGAAGCTCAGGAACGTCACAGGACTACTGGGAAATACCCTCAGCTTGCTTGCCCTCCCCTCAAGCGAGCAGAGCCGCCTCCAGAGCCCCCCCAGACTGCTTCCCAGGCTTGTTGGGTTGGACATAGACTAGAGGAAGGGGATTGAGAAAGACCTCTTGACTTGAGTTCGCCTTCTGTTGGTGAACTTCATGCCAGATTTTCCGCACAGCCCAGCAGTTCGTTGTGGACCTCTGCCTCAGTTGTCTGGTCTCCACATTCCTTCCCAGGGAGTTCAACATGGAGAGAACAGAAGAGTGTCTTCTTGTCGTTGTGAGGAGGAGGACAGGAGAAGCTCTGAGTACCTGGCCCCACCTACGCTTGGAATCCGTCCTCTCACACCAGTGACAGGCTCAGGAGACCCTTTCGTGTCCCCCGTCCCATCCCCTTGTTCAGCTCTCAGCCTCAGTGGGAAAGTCCTTGTTCATTGGAGTTGTTCTGGGATGTTTTCAAAAAGAATTTGACCTGGAAGCAAGGGTGTAGCATAGTGAGTAACCAATGGTTTAAATGCCTACTGTGTATTTTGCCACTTGGTAATCTACTTTCCCTCGTGTTTCTCCTGGAGCATTTTCAGCATCCCATCTTGGACACGGAGTTTAGTTCAGAGAACAGGAAGAGGGTGTTGGAGAGGGAAGGATCAGACAGGGAGTCAGGATTAGAAGGGGAAGAATGGGGCTGGGAGGAGGCGGCAGAAGGAGGGACGAACAGGGTGAGTGGTCACCATGCTGGCCTTGGGGAGTTCAGGACGGAGGAGGAAAAGGTGGACCGTCCTGCCTCCCTGGGCCTCCTTCACCCCAAGATGCCTTCACGGCATGACTTGCTGTCCAAGAGGACATCTCGAAGGGCTTGGGTTCCTTGGTGGCACCATGGAGACTTCTGGGCC